CTGATCAAATAACAGTCAAGGCCAATTGGCATTCAATAAGAATCAACAGAATTCACAGGGCCTCTTTTGGAGTGCAGCGATCCCAAACTGATGACATGTTAGACCCCACCTTCAGTCTCAGCCTGGTCCCCTCCTACATCGATTCCCCAAACTGAAATAAGGTAGATGTCAGGGTTCCAAATAGCATCCAAAATTAAATCAGAGTCCGAGGAAAAGGATTCCTCAAAGTCCCAACTTATGAAGAGAGCCACGTTGGCACATTTGGGGAAACCCGAATCTGAAAGCTTCCCGGTTTTCCCCACCCAGTTGAAAGTCCAAGATCTTGCCCCCCCCCCCACACCCACAAGTCCATCCCATGGTCCACTCTCCCACTGCCACGCTGGCAGCTTCCACCCATCCAGTTCCAGCCAGGTGTAGAGACAAAAGATGACCTTGATTTTCTAGAAAGAATGTTATTATGGCTACGTATCATCTAACTCCCCATCCCGTTTTCCCACAATAGAAAATGAATAGTAGAAAGTGTGGCGGGCCTGAAGTCCAGAAGAAAAGATGGCTTGCAGACCGTACTGGACAGTAGAAACCAAAAATTCCTCTTCTAGTACCTTCACTTTGGCAGTAGCGGTGAGAAGGACATAATCGGGAGCTTCCATGGCTTCGCGTTTTTCCTGTTGAGCTTCACTCCCAATCAGCAAGTTGAAATGGGTAGCCAAGTGTCTTCTCAGTAGCGTCTTGTTGGGAGGGATGTTAAGCAGCTGCGCCAAGGTCTCTACGTTAAAACGAGGTTCCAGAACCTGCGCCACGAAAACGAGATTTCAAAACTTGGGCCTCCGGTAACTTCTCATCAACAAATTGCCAGCCGATTTGCAAAACACTCAAGATGGAAATCTTAAGAGGACTTCCGGGAGGCGCCAATGCCCCGGGACCTAAATACGATCCAAGCCATCGACTAAGAGAAAGATATAAAAATGGAATAATTACCATTAAACCCCCGTGAACTCCGCTTCCTCTTAAATTAGGAGCGTATTCGGCCAGATCGACAGAACGCAACCACTCCATAACTCGATGATTGGTCCATTGGGAAACCTCTGATGGGGTGATGTTATTCTGACAACCAAAAATACAATAAATTAAAGCAGCCGTTTGTTCATTCGTTCACACGTTCACTCGTTCATTCGTGAATTCTGCTTATATTACACCGTGGGTTATGTCAGGGGAAAAACCCCGATTGTGAGCATAGCTGCGCTTAATGTCAATTGAACAGACACCACACCACAAAAGTCTCACTCCGTTAACATATAATTTACTAGTGAAATGATAACCTTACTGTATATACTCGAGTATAAGCCTAGTTTTTCAGCCCACTTTT